AGTCATCATTCCCAGAATTCCATCTAAAAGTTGCTATGTTTGAAAAAAGACAGGCTTAGGTAGATTAGGCCATATAAATCCATTTCATTTTGCTTTTATTAAGTATAAAGTGTTTTACAGCTTTTTTGTGCATTTAGTTGCTTACTTTAATTGATTGCAAAGTTTATTCTTAACATTATTTATATTTTCTATTTTCTTTAAAAGGTCCCTTTCTTTGGAAAACGACAACATCACACCTGTCCTTGTTTGCCAAATCTCATATGTTCTAAGTTCACTGGTGGTCGATACCGATGCTCAATAGACTTCAAGAACATGGATTTTTAATGAAAAGTGCTTTGTGACCTTCATACCTTTAAATCCACAGCATGTTAAAAAGTGTTGAAGATAATTGTCAGTTTGCACAAATGACTTAAATGGGCTGTCAGTAATTAGTAACTTCTGGATGTGCAAATATTGTTCCTGTAAAACAAATGAAGAGATTCCAGAACTGGGATTAAAAATGTAAACTTGCAGAGTGAATAATGTGAGCTGGGTATATTTTTGTGGTTCTGGAAACATCTGTATTTATTCCAGAATATCTTTTTTTATAAACTAGGTAGTTAATATTATTGTTTCTGGAAAAAATGATAGATATGGATTAGATAGATAGCTAGACAGACAGGCAAAGAGACATAGATAATAGATATTGGTGTTCTCCTCATCTTTCCTACTCACAGTTTAATCTCAATGTGCAAAGTCACTCATGGACAGATTGTATACTTTTCCACTGCACTGACAAAAGTTTGCCAACTTCAAAGGGTTTGCTAGCTCTGACCATCACAAGTACAATCAGAGGCAGATTCCCTATGAAACGATGTGTTTCCAGACAGAAGTGAGAAAATACTTAAGTCTCATAATGTTGTGACATTGTGGGAAGTTAAGAAATCCCTGATGAAAGCAGACAAAACGTAGCATCATCAATTTCCTACAGTTTGATTAAAAAGTTAAATTGCCACAAAATATTTCAGGAAAGGGAAAGCAATCAAATTGGTAGTACAAGGAAAGGAATAACTCTTCTCTTCCATTTCCCTACTGAACATTTTTTCCTGTTGCCATGGGTACTAAGAAAGAAAACTTAAAGACGTTTTTCTACTGTGGCCTTGATCAGATTGACTTCCCACCCCCCCTTGAATGTGATTAACGTTTTTATACAATTCCTACTTTAACTAGTTATAATTAAATGGCTATTATATTTTAGGCAAGGGAAAAAACCAGACTAATGCTTCTTGGACAAACAAACTAAGAATTTTGGATCTGAACCCTCCTGGTGTGGGATTCCAGTACTTTCCTGAACCTTGGCAAGCATTTTAATTCTTTAGTGATCACTAGCTACAGCATCCCTTAAATGCTGTAAGTTCAATCCTTTAAATAAGTGTTTCTTGATTTTAACATGCCTGGACCAACTCCCACCATTTCCCAGCCAGTATGCTTTAATCAAAAAGACCACTTTCTGAAACATTTAATCCAGAGGTAGCATGCTTGTATGAAATAAAATATGTATAATTGTTATTTTAGGGAGTGGGGGAGTGGTGTTGAGTTGTTTTATGGATCACATTTTTGTCTGAGATTTGCTCAATAGAATGGAGTAGAAAGAATTTAATAATGGAAAGAAAGAAAGAAAACAGGTTTGCCACAAAAGATACCAAATCAGTATTAACCTTTCCATTTTTTTTTCTGGAAATGGGAACAAAAACCCTTCAGGCACAGTTTGAAAGTTTGTATTTCTGCCTAAATCGGGTTAAGTATAGAACTATAAAATATTCACCTCCCATGAATTCTCATCCATGATGCTGTCTTAAGAACATTATTTTGAATGTGGATAGAAGCCAATAATTACGGGGCCTGGATATGTACCATGTTTGATAAAATTATTTTCCCCTTGTAACATGCAGATATACTTCGATTATTGTTATGTGTGCTTTATTGTAAAATAAAGTATATTACCTGTAGTGTATATAAAATATAGAAGTACTAGATGTCTGTCATATCATGTAATACAAGTCATGAAATTACTGTTAGAATACTTTGGCCAGATAAAGAATGCATACTTTTTAACCACTTTTAAAAAATGATAATTTACACACACACACACACACACTCACTCACATTGCATCAGTTTGAAAGCAGTTCTGGACCTCTGATTCCAAAATATTGGCAAACGTTTGACAACAGAGCTGATTTGTTTCTGACTCTGTAACACTGTTTTTTTTAATCAGATGCAGCTCTGTGAAGTTTCTGTTTTTTATTTCTATTCAGTTAGTTTTGATGGAATTTTGTTTATATTTATCCATTTCCCCATTCTTGCCTCAGTTTGTCTCCCTGCAGCTCAAGGTAAAGAAGCAATTTTTGCTGTTAGGCTAAGCACCGTAAAGCCAACAGATCGTAAAGCTAACAGTTGGTATTCAGCAGGTTCTGTGGAGAACCGGTAGCGGAAATTTTGAGTAGTTTGGAGAACCAGCAAATACCACCTCTGACTGGCCCCGCCCCCATCTATTCTCTGCCTCCCGAGTCCCAGCTGATGTTGCCCTGCACAGGAGAATGGAGCTGGAAAGCAGGTTAGTGGGGTGGGGAGGGAATGGCGATTTTGCAGTAACCTTCCACCAGGAGTGGGTAAGGAATGGAGATTTTACAGTATCCTTCCCCTGCCATGCCCACCAAGCCACGCCATGCCCACCAAGCCACGCCCATAGCACTGGTAGTAAAAATGTTTGAATCCCATCACTACAACAGATGGATTTGAAGAGCATGGACCAACTTCAAAGTGCTATTGGGGAATGAATAGGAAGTTCTCAGAGGCTGTTTCTCATGGCATGAATGTTTGTCCCTTTTTATATCTGGCCATGTTTGGAATTTAATAGACTGCCATGGCAAGAGCCTTGGCTAACCATAAAATATCATTCTGCAAAAAGCCAGCTGGTACTATGGAGACATGAGCACACGGATTATAAGGTTGATGCATGGCCTGAAATTCAAAACACAAAATAATGTGACATCATCATTCCGTCCTTCCCAAAACACAAAAGGCAAATATGTACCTGTTTCAGAAGATGGTTTTTTATTTTCTTTCTCTCTTTCTGTCAGTCAGCCCACGTTCCCAATTTCTCTCTTTGGACACAGCAAATACAGTAAATTTTGTTCTCCAGAGTGGAGGACATTATAAATTATAAAGAGACCACATGCAGGATACTAGATGCTTGACTCCCACCCATTGATGCACCTTCTTACTTCTTTTCTCCACAGCAGAAACTCTTTTGTTGGTGGTGGTGGTTTTAGGCTTTATCCAACATATTAGTTAAAATGGGAGTGTCTGTGTACAGCGAAGACTGAATAATTAACAACAAGGAGGAAAAAAGAGTGGGGAGTGGGGGGGGGGGGAGAGAAGAAGAGAGCAAACAATCTGGTGGCCAAGCTGGTGGTGGGATATTGGGATCCCATCACCATGAGATGAGCTGTTCCTTCCCAAACTACTTTCAACTTAAAAGCATTTGGTGGCACACAAATTGGCCCATATGTGGGGCAATTCTCTAGGTGTTAAAATGTGAAAAATATTACTTGCTTTCCACATTTTGCCCCAAATTGGTTTCACACTAATCAAATTGAAATTACAAGATCTGGGCATTGGATCAATGTAATATTGGTGTGTTTTTATTATGGCATCTGAGCAGCTTTCTTTTTAATCTTCCTATATTTTCTTATTAGCAAAGCAATTATAATTTGTTCTTGGTTCAAGTAAGGAGAAGATGTAATCCAAAGGTCCACTTTTTGGACTCATGAATACACTTAGAGTTCACTGATGGGGTGATGGCCACCAGAACATTCAAAAAGAGGATGAGTTAGATTCATAGTTGTTACAAAATGTATTTATTTATACATCCTGCCTACAGTAAAAACTCTTGATTTTAATGGTTTATGTGCTACACTTGAATCATTGACAGGATTTCTTCTCCAGCTGATAGGCAACAACAGCAGAAGTCTGCATTTGCTTTCTAAATGTGTTGGATTGGTTACCATGTGACACAGAATGCTAGACTACATGAATCTTTGGTCTGACCCACCAAATATCCTACAGAAGTTCTAACGGGCATGCCAAGAGCAACAGTAGAAAGGCTACACATTTGTCACTTGAAGGAAAGTACTACAACCTATGATGTCTAAAACATCAAAGAATGTTGCACTCTTCAAATGCGATAGGAAGAGTAAGTATTTGCAACCTCATGTGTCTTGACCTTGCAAAGCAATATTTTCCAAGCAAAACTGCTCTGAATTTGAGATAACTGGGCAACATTCTCCCAAAGTCATTAGAAAGAAAGGTGACCTACAACGCAGAAGAAATCTTGTTTGCTTTGTTTAATTCTTTCTTTAGTCAGGACGATAACATTAACAAAAATATGATTTGACTCATTTAAATATATCAATATCACATACAAATGACCTTTTCTGACATGACAAGCTATGTAACGAGTCGAATAGCTTTTGGTGGAATTTTTAAATGATTGCTAAGGCTTACTAGGGCAAAGCCAAGGGTATTCAAATATAAGATTGTCACAGGCTTTGCTTCTGAACTGGAGATGTCTTGCTTAGCCAAGGTGGCAAGTGACACAAGAAGCACACTGCAGTGAAGGCTTTTTTACTTTTCGCTATATATAATTATTAACACCAGATCCTTAAAAGACAATCCTGATGTCAGGTTTCCTCTGTCTCTCCTGTTTCCTCCCCTTTTCTCTACAACTCTATCCTCCTTTACTGGGCTAAACAAGAGACAGAATGAAAGGAAAGAAACAAACTAGATTACTAAAAAGTGTTCAGTGTGGCTTGATTTCCTCCAGCTCAGCTGAAACACTTCCCATTTCTGCCTTGGGGAAGAACCTTTCTCAGCATCTTATTTCCAGTCCTTCCTCATAGACCAGGGCTTCTCTAACATTTCCCACGGTCCTCTCCTGGTTCTTGGGTGAAGTCACCACTTTCAGCCAGCTAGGTTCCTATCTCCCATCTGGGCTCTTCGGTGGAAGTCTTCCTTCTGGTCTTTTCTTGCTTTCTTGCTTTCTTCTGTGAAAACAACCTCTGAACTGTTCTAGTCCCTGAATGGGAACCGACACTTACCCTACATGCTTCACTTCAGCCTCCAAGTTCTCCAATGCACGCAACATTCTTCTGATATATTTTATAAGTACAGAGCTTAGAGATCACTGTGGACACGTTCTTCCTGTATTTTTCCCATACCATAACCACATTTCAAAAACTCCAAAAAGAAAAAAAAAATTGAAGTCATCAATGAAGATGCTCTAGGATGATAATGTTGGATGCAATTTTTGAATT